TGTTGGGTTGCGCATTGGATATGTATGTTCAGATACCACCATTGTGTTGGGTTGCGCATTGGATATGTATGTTCAGGTACCACCATTGTGGCATGGGTGGGCATTGGACATGTATGTTCAGGTACCACCATTGTGTTGGGTTGGGCATTTGACATGTATGTTCAGCTACCACCATTGTGTTGGGTTGCGCATTGGATATGTATGTTCAGGTACCACCATTGTGGCATGGGTGGGCATTGGACATGTATGTTCAGGTACCACCATTGTGTTGGGTTGCGCATTGGATATGTATGTTCAGATACCACCATTGTGTTGGGTTGCGCATTGGATATGTATGTTCAGGTACCACCATTGTGGCATGGGTGGGCATTGGACATGTATGTTCAGCTACCACCATTGTGCCATGGGTGGGCATTAGACATGTATGTTCAGGTACCACCATTGTGCCATGGGTGGGCATTGGACATGTATGTTCAGCTACCACCATTGTGGCATGGGTGGGCATTGGACATGTATGTTCAGCTACCACCATTGTGCCATGGGTGGGCATTAGACATGTATGTTCAGCTACCACCATTGTGCCATGGTCGGGCATTAGACATGTATGTTCAGGTACCACCATCGTGGCATGGGTGGACATTGGACATGTATGTTCAGCTACCACCATTGTGCCATGGGTGGGCATTAGACATGTATGTTCAGCTACCACCATTGTGCCATGGTCGGGCATTGGACATGTATGTTCAGATACCACCATTGTGTTGGGTTGGGCATTTGACATGTATGTTCAGGTACCACCATTGTGGCATGGGTGGGCATTGGACATGTATGTTCAGCTACCACCATTGTGCCATGGGTGGGCATTAGACATGTATGTTCAGGTACCACCATTCTGCCATGGGTGGGCATTGGACATGTATGTTCAGCTACCACCATTGTGGCATGGGTGGGCATTGGACATGTATGTTCAGCTACCACCATTGTGCCATGGGTGGGCATTAGACATGTATGTTCAGCTACCACCATTGTGCCATGGTCGGGCATTGGACATGTATGTTCAGGTACCACCATTGTGCCATGGGTAGGCATTGGACATGTATGTTCAGATACCACCATTGTGTTGGGTTGGGCATTTGACATGTATGTTCAGGTACCACCATTGTGGCATGGGTGGGCATTGGACATGTATGTTCAGGTACCACCATTGTGTTGGGTTGCGCATTGGATATGTATGTTCAGATACCACCATTGTGTTGGGTTGCGCATTGGATATGTATGTTCAGGTACCACCATTGTGGCATGGGTGGGCATTGGACATGTATGTTCAGCTACCACCATTGTGCCATGGGTGGGCATTGGACATGTATGTTCAGCTACCACCATTGTGCCATGGGTGGGCATTGGACATGTATGTTCAGCTACCACCATTGTGCCATGGGTGGGCATTGGACATGTATGTTCAGGTACCACCATTGTGCCATGGGTGGGCATTAGACATGTATGTTCAGGTACCACCATTGTGCCATGGGTGGGCATTGGACATGTATGTTCAGCTACCACCATTGTGCCATGGGTGGGCATTAGACATGTATGTTCAGCTACCACCATTGTGCCATGGTCGGGCATTGGACATGTATGTTCAGGTACCACCATCGTGGCATGGGTGGACATTGGACATGTATGTTCAGCTACCACCATTGTGCCATGGGTGGGCATTAGACATGTATGTTCAGCTACCACCATTGTGCCATGATCGGGCATTGGACATGTATGTTCAGATACCACCATTGTGTTGGGTTGGGCATTTGACATGTATGTTCAGGTACCACCATTGTGGCATGGGTGGGCATTGGACATGTATGTTCAGCTACCACCATTGTGCCATGGGTGGGCATTAGACATGTATGTTCAGGTACCACCATTGTGCCATGGGTGGGCATTGGACATGTATGTTCAGCTACCACCATTGTGGCATGGGTGGGCATTGGACATGTATGTTCAGCTACCACCATTGTGCCATGGGTGGGCATTAGACATGTATGTTCAGCTACCACCATTGTGCCATGGTCGGGCATTGGACATGTATGTTCAGGTACCACCATTGTGCCATGGGTAGGCATTGGACATGTATGTTCAGATACCACCATTGTGTTGGGTTGGGCATTTGACATGTATGTTCAGGTACCACCATTGTGGCATGGGTGGGCATTGGACATGTATGTTCAGCTACCACCATTGTGCCATGGGTGGGCATTAGACATGTATGTTCAGCTACCACCATTGTGCCATGGGTAGGCATTGGACATGTATGTTCAGCTACCACCATTGTGCCATGGGTAGGCATTGGACATGTATGTTCAGCTACCACCATTGTGCCATGGGTGGGCATTAAACATGTATGTTCAGCTACCACCATTGTGTTAGGGTGGGCATTAGACATGTATGTTCAGCTACCACCATTGTGCCATGTCTGGGCATTAGACATGTATGTTCAGGTACCACCATTGTGTCATGGTCGGGCATTAGACATGTATGTTCAGCTACCACCATTGTGGCATGGGTGGGCATTAGACATGTATGTTCAGCTACCACCATTGTGTTAGGGTGGGCATTGGACATGTATGTTCAGGTACCACCATTGTGCCATGTCTGGGCATTAGACATGTATGTTCAGGTACCACCATTGTGTCATGGTCGGGCATTAGACATGTATGTTCAGCTACCACCATTGTGGCATGGGTGGGCATTAGACATGTATGTTCAGCTACCACCATTGTGCCATGTCTGGGCATTAGACATGTATGTTCAGGTACCACCATTGTGTCATGTCTGGGCATTAGACATGTATGTTCAGGTACCACCATTGTGTCATGGGTGGGCATTGGACATGTATGTTCAGGTACCTCCATTGTGCCATGGGTGGGCATTAGACATGTATGTTCAGCTACCACCATTGTGTCATGGGTGGGCATTGGACATGTATGTTCAGGTACCACCATTGTGTTAGGGTGGAAAA